GGCAGCAGGCGCTAGGCTGGCACGTCGTATTCTGGCACGACAGCAGACAGGGTCCTATGGTTGCAGCGCTGTCGACATCGTGCGATTCCAGGCTTTCGGGCAGGATCGCTACACGACTGAAAACAGACTCACCACAGTGATCGTTGCTGTCGCTACTGTTGGCAACTGCCACGGCTTGTCCGACAACAAACTCTGGCTGTATCGTCGTTGAGTGGATTCCGTACTTGTGCATCACACGCTTGACCTCGGCTGCTACGTCCATGTACAGACAGTCCATGTCAACCGAACCTGGGTTAACCAGCGTGTTTGGTCTTCTATGAAGCGTGACAAGGCGTGCTGACTTTGTCGTCCTTGTTGGCAACAGATGTTCATGATCGTGGTCGTGGTCGTGGTCATGGTCGTGATCGTGGTCATGGTCGTGCTCTGTATTGCCAACTATATTGGCGTTGCTGGATGAGTTGCTGTTGTGGATGCACATGTGTGCATTCGGGCGGTCGATCAAAACATGCACTGATCCGACATTCTTGGTATCTGACAGCTGCCACACATGCAAATCGTGCACGTTCAGCACATTTGGAATAGCCTTTAGATCCCGACGCAGATCCTCTAGGTCAATGCTGTTCGGAACACCGTTCAGCAGTATAAACGAAGCACTTTTGACAAGCGGCACTGTAATCCACACAATCAAGGTGTTAATAAAGAGTGACACGGCAGGATCAAAGTAGAATCGCCAGCTTCCATGGGCTTTCCAGATGACCAGTCCGCTGATAATGACGGCAATGTTGGTTATACAATCGCCAAACACATGCAGCCAAACGCCGTGCATGTTTAGATGTCCACCTGACCCATGTTCGCCACCGGCAGTGCTCTTTCTACGCTTGCTTCTCTTTTTGGACTTCTTCGGCACGGCCGATGCACCTGTGCCGTTGTCAACATGGTGGTGCTTGCCTCCATGTGGCGATGAGTAACCGCTACCATGAGGCGAGCCAGGAGCAGATTCTTCACTTATATCGTCTTCGCCCTGCATCCTCCGGGCTGAGTTGATGATTGCTTGGTGTGTGTATACGGGGTGTGGTACGCCAATAATTGACCGGTTGTCTGCTGCGCTCGAATGGAGGTGCTGTGCAGATGCTGTTGCGCTGGGTGATGTTGGCATTTCAATAGCTGCATATGCAGTCTGTCGAGATATAACGACGTTGTTGCTGCTACTGCTTGCGTTGTTGGATATCAGCCCCTCCTGCTCGTCAAGAACCGACTCTTCGTCGCCATGGCTGTGCCCGTGGCTGTGTCCATGACTGTGCCCGTGGCTATGACCATGACCATGTCCATGCTCGTGGAATAGCATCAGCCCCATGAGATTAAACGTCAAGCCGATGCAACCAACGATCATAACCAGCTTTGGGTTCTTTATCTCCTCGATATTTATGAATCTCTCAATGGCATCGATGTAAATAGTCAGGCAAAGACCCAGAAGCAGCACGCCGTTGGTAAGCGCACCAAGAATCTCTGCTCTCTGCCACCCATAGGTGTTGTTGGGAACTGCCTTATCCGATCCAGCCACCTACAAGTAATATTCGCAATGATGTCGTGTGAGAACCAGTGCGCAGTAGAGTCTCAGAATCAAGGAAAAATTTAAAACCCCTCTTCATCGTGCCTCCACCATTAAAGGGAGAATAGAGATGAATAGTAGCACTGAGTTCCCAGATATGCTGAGCAGCAGGGAATACTTGCCTTTATGGCCCAGAGCGCTATAACCATGCCAAGAACATCGTTGAGCATGTGGAACGAGTCTGCAATAAGCGTGATTGAGCCAGCGACGATACCAACAACGAGCTCAACAAAAAACATTGTCGCACTCAGGCCCAGCATAATGCTGACCTTTGCCATACGAGACAGCTTTAACATGGTATGTATATATTTGTGAGTATATGGAATTTGAATACAAAGTGACTTTTAAAAATAGAGGTAGAACAGAAAAACAGAAAGAAAATATAGAAAGAAAGAAAAAAGATAATTTGAGTTTGTCTCACGCGGTTGCCACTGTCTTCTGTTCGGAAGCTCCGAGATGAGAAGTGTCATCCTTTGCACATTCGCAGTTAAGATACCGACTACTTGCATTAAGGTGCAACGAATGGTTTGTCAGATACGTCCTGTTTTGCAAATTGTAGTCCGAATACATGCACCCAATGGTATCACGTAGCTTTGTAGCCTCCGCTAGCGACATGGACCTCGTCACCCATCTGGCAATCCTAATCTGGATCTCTTCTGGGAGTCGCCTACCAAAGGCTGAGTTAGCAACCACACGTTTACACAGCTTCCAATGCAGCTGCTGAGGCGGAACGATAGCTGTTGAAACAATTCTATGTGATGGATCGACAAAATGAACCGTCATAACCTTGATATGACCCGCTCTTGTCTGATCGGACAGCTTGAGCGGCAATATACGACGCTGATATATGTTTGGATAGCAGACGATATCCCCTTCATTAAGTTGAATGCTGCCAAGATCATTGCTGTATTCGCTGGTTCCATCGGTGTTGTTGAGCTCATAGACAACCGAGTCGAAATGATCGCGTAAATCGACGCCTTCGTGCATCTCAACGGACTCACGCAGGTCTATGCTAACCTGCTCGATATTGTCGACATCATAAAGATATATTGCTGTTGCCACAATCTGCTCTGCCTGAGTGCCAGCAGATTTCCATATCTCGGATGCACACTCGGGCGTTTCGGGAGTGAGATACACATTGGTCATCTGAATAAATACCTGGAGCTGCTCGCCACGTAAGCTATATGGATTCATCGGTCGTTTGGGAGATACAAATATACCAGGGCTGGGCTCGTTATAAATAACCCCACTCTCCCAGGCTGCCAACGTATCCAATAACGAGTCTGAGTAAATATCAAACAGATCCGAAAGGTCATATGACGGAAGAGGAACGGTTTCGCTGATGCACTCATCAATGTTAACAGGTACGCGAAACTCCCTTCGGTGAACGAGATCAGTCAGTACTTGCTCAACTAGCGGAATGCACTTGGATATGACGGGTGCAATAATATCATATGCTTCGGCATGATCGATTGGGTGTAGATTGTTAATGTATGACTGGAATTCAACGTGCCCATCTGCGCGGTCAACATGTATTTCCGATGGAAGCCACGCATATCTCAACATCTCATCTGAAGGTGTCAAACTAAACTCGCTTATTGGAAACTCTCGTTTGCGCATCTTTTGATTCAGCTTACATATGGCCGCATCCCACGAAGACTTGGATCCAGGAACTTTTCCAAATTCTGGATTTGTCAGCATTGAATGCGTACTGGTACTTGGAAAGTCAGAAATTGGAGTTTTCAAGTAGTCTAGGGGATATAGTCCTGGATCAACCAACGAGAGCACTCGGCAGCCGTAAGGCCATCTTTCACCAGTTCTGCTGTCGACTAGGTCATATTCGTGCTTCATTTTGAGGGTGTCTGACCAGCTCTTCCATTTTTCGGGCATTCCCTCAAGTACTGTTGATACGTATCGCTTTAGATCTGAATTTGATATACTGCTGGTCCAGACCATGTCAATCGCCGATGGATTAGTATTGCTGCCAACGCAGGCATGCTCAATGCTAGCGTAGTATTTAAGCTCGTCAATAACAAACACCGCCTCAGAATCTGTCAGACCATGCTTTGTCTTTAACTCTAAATGCCAGTTTTTGATTGTATCTGCATCTTTGGCTTTGTAAAACCATTCGGGCTTGGTGCGAATTGCTTTGCTACCAGAGATCATGCGCTTTTCTACTGGCGATATCCACAGGTTGCTAGTGCGATGAGCTGACCAGGTCACTTTGTTTAGTTTGGCCATCCAGTATACGAGCTTTACGCTGTCTGGGTAGCTTGGATGTGACATTTAAACAAAAAATAATGAGCGGCTAAAAAAAAAAAGTGAAACGTACTTGTGCGGTATGCGTCGTGCCTTGCTTTATACCTGCGTGAAAACGCCAAGAAATCAAGCTACGCAAATGATTTTCAAGCCAAACAGACAAATCAGACCAGATTGCTGACATTTAAGCATAGAATAAAGTGCTCGGTAAATGTGCAGTTTGTCATCATCTGACACTATCTTTAAATGTGTTAACAACAGACATTTTTGAAACTCGCCGATACTTTCTTTTCTTACAAAATTTAAATTATTAATATTGCAGCATTTTAATTTCTCTTGGTAGCAGACCTCCAAGCATATTACTAAGCACTATTGTCTCTTTAGTCGAAATAAGCTCTGCAGATGTTTAAAATTAGACACCGAAACCTAAACTGCATTGTATGTATAGCTTGTGTACAGATAACCTTAAATCGTCTGTTTTAACTAAAGCACTTTTCTACATCGACTTCATTTTTTTAATATTAGAAATTCTCAAGATATTATTTATTAGTTGTATTCGACACAAGCACGGATATAATTGTTAAAAAATAAATGGTAATTACATATTTTGTCACGTCTGCTGAATCCCGACACGATAATTTTAAATTGATACACAGTTATTGAATGTTTTTTGGAAATTAACTTTAAACGTCGGCCCTAGAATAACGTCTAAACAAATATATTACGTTTTTCTAATGAAGTTTGACTACACTACTAGCAAACACGTTTATCATTTGTTAAGTTAAAATAATAACAAATTAAAAAATAGGTATTTTTTTACTTCCGAGCTGCAATTTAAACGACCTCTTTTAATTCGACTTTAGTTGATTGCTTAAACACGAATTTATGTACGTTACTAATTATTTAAGAAAAAACCAATCGATAAATGTTTTTGAAAATACCTTTAAACTTTTTAAATAAAGAAGTGTACAAGATTATTACAAATTTGTTATAGAAACCTTGACAAATACTTCGTAAACGTAAATAAAAAAGTAAAAAAAATCAATTTAATAATAAAAACCTTTCTGATATATACTACATTTATTTTTAAAAAAATTGCGGAAATGCCGGCTTTAAACGTGCTTTCTATTATGGTCTTATAGTGTAGTGGTTAGCACAGCGGGTTTTGATCCCGCTAACCCGAGTTCGAATCTCGGTAAGACCTCTTTTTGCGTAAAAAAAATTTAGCTTTTAAAGTATTGACTTTAAGTCAATCTTGTACATTCATTCGCATAAAAAGGCGGTCGTTTTAAATGAAGCATATGGCCTGCCACATGTATATTTTTTTCTCAATATTAGACAGTTGTTGTAAACTTTTTTAATATTTTATGCCACATGGCCGTTTGATGATGACTAGGACCTCTAGTTGGACAAGTTTTCTGTCTGGTCGTCGTCCCTTTTTATTTTTGCACCCATTAACTTGATTACAATGAAAGTTTCCGTAGCCAGTCTTACTCTTTTAGTGACAGTCGGATCTCTTTTTGTAGTGTCATCTACAGCCAAAAGCGCGGCTGGTGAGGATGATGAGGCAATTGGCGATTTTCTCGGGGTCAGACCCGATTTGGCCGATGACCTGAATCCAGCAGATAACAAGCCCGAAACTGAGGAAAAGTCGGAGGTTCAAGGATCCAGGGCACAGAAGGAGGCAATCGACTGTGTACAGGCATGTAGCCTGACCGATCAGAGTTGCCGTGCGAGATGCATGGGGGTTCCTGGAGTAGCGTCGAGAAAAATGCCAAGAAAGCAAGATATTAACGGGAATCTGCCGCTTAACTGGAAGATTAACAAGGACGAAGTCGTTAAACCAGCTTCGCCGCATGGTAGCGAAAATGTGGGGACTGGTAAGGGACACGCCAGTGTCTCAGAACTGGCTGGGGTAATTGGTATGGCTATCGCACTTGGCTTTATGTGATGGGCTCTTTTTCAATATATTTACCTGTTGCCTTTGTTCTTAATACATCTATCTATATTAAATATTCTAGTAACAGCAATGAGACTTGGAACAAGATGGATCGCATGCTTACTCTGTATCATTGACACATCTCCGGCAACAGAGACGTTAGCACCGGCGCTACAGCGAGTACAAAAACAATTATACCAAAAGACTAATCAAAAGTTGACTGATGAGGATATTGTTCGCAGAACGCAGCAGTGCAATATGGACTGCAAGACGGAGCCCGAAGAGCTTATTCAGATGTGTATCCAGCGATGCACGTATTTTTTGATAGATCCGGTTGCGCACAGTATCTCAGAGAAAGAGAGTGTTACAGGCGAAGACGGATTTTTAGCTCAAAACGAGCATATACGGACACGAGTCAGGCTGATTGGACCTGACGGACTACCGCTGGTGGACACTCCAGCAACTACAATTCCGACGAGCAGAACATTAGAGCAGGTGGATACGTGGACGCCTAGGTATCGGGTCGAAACTATTAATTCTGGAAGTATCATCAAGCCTTGGTTGTGGACGGGGGGCGTTGTTTTTTCGATAGCTATTCTATTCTAAAAAAAGAGTCGGTAAAAATCACACGGTCCCTTTATCCCTTTCTTTCATACTTCTTTCAAATTTGACTTGTCTTTTTATTTAATTCCGCACCATTGAACAACCTAATGAAACTCAAGGGCTATCTTCCGAGGTGGAACAAGCACAAAGTGTACAAGACGCTTGGGTTTATCCCCGTATTCATAACACTGGGTCTGTTTGTATGGTCGTACCGCGCCAACGCTATAGCGGTGATACCACTCATATACCGCAGCAGCCCGACGGTTGCCGTTCTATGGTCCCTAGTACTGACGTTAATTCTCGTATTGACACTCTGGAGTTATTTTGTCTGTGTGCTCAAGAACCCGGGTAACCCGCGGGCGGTCAGCGCAGTTGGTGCTCACGGTAGTAGCGTCTCTAACGGTCCTTATATCCGGGTTTCAGTACAGAATCCTGATGACAGGCGAGGCACGGCCCAAAGGCGGCGGTTTGCAGACGGTAATAGCAGCTCTGTTGATAGCGACAGCGACTATGACGTATCGTGCGAATCTAGCAGTGAGTGTGGTGACCCGCTGTCTGAAGAGCAGATGCGCCAGTCAGAGCTTCTGTACGCTATCACAGTCAAGGACAACGGGCAGCCGCGGTATTGCCTAAAGTGCAACGTGCCGAAACCAGACCGTGCGCATCACTGCAGTGTCTGTGGTATATGCGTGCTAAAGATGGACCATCACTGCCCGTGGCTAAACAACTGCGTTGGGTTCCACACGCAGAAAGCGTTTATGCTGTTTATCTCGTATGCAGCGTTGTATTGCCTTGGGTCGTTTATCTCGTCGCTTGTGTTTTTTATAAGGCTATTCACGACAACGCTCGGTGACGAAGGGGTCATGATCGAAATGATGATTTTGTGCGTGCTTGCTGGGTCGTTCTCACTATGCCTCTTGGGATTTACGGGTTATCACATATATCTGCTGGTTCAGAATCAGACAACAATCGAAAGCTACGAGAGCAACACTTTCAGACTCCCGAACGAGGAGAGTCGAGTAAGGTCAAAGAAGGTCAATCTGTTTGATGTCGGCACAAAGAAAAACTTTGTTCAGGTATTTGGTGCCCGCTGGACACACTGGTTTATCCCCACGCCCACGACCACGGGCGACGGTATTCGGTTCCCAATTAGCTTCGAAGGCTACAACGAGCTCCGCAGTGCCTAGTAAATTTGCTGTTTATCGATATTTTTAGGTTGCATGCCAAAGTGTATATTTAGTGTGGCCTTTTTTACACCACAATTCCGCTTCTTGTGAGCGCAAAGGCAAAAATGCCTACATGTTTTAAATACAAAAAATGTCTAAACTTTGTTCATTCTGTCGCTGACTCAATCATTGACAGCTTTTCGTTATTGACCCAGCTGAGGTACGAGTCCCAGAACAGATCAAAACAGCTTCCAAAAGGTACACGATATATCAGCGGAACGAACGCAAAGTTGATAGTCTGGACGATAGGTGAAATCATCAAACCCGTTAAATATGTCGGCCACAGAAGCTGGCTAATCCGGTACTTGGCATCCTCGATCCCACCGCCCTCCAAAATAGCCATTGACCCGAAAAATAACGTATACATTGTGGGCTCGTACAGCAACACATCAGAGGCAAGTCTTTTTCCAACCTGCTTTGCTGCCTGACTCTGCTCCGACCGGCGCTTTGCTCTGGCAGCTAATGTCGCAGCAGAGTGGCCAGGTTTCCGCCGAGTCCGGAACCATGTGTTCTGTGATCGGATCGGAAACCTACTGTCCAGAAACCTATGCCATCTGACTCCGAGTGGAGAAACGCAGGTTGAAAACAAGACAAACCGGGATGTTCGCCAAAAGTCGTACTGTTTGGGCTTGTCGTCGTCTGCTTTAGAGGTAATGTGCATTCCAATCGTCTGTGCTAGCAAGTCGCCGCAGGCCGACAAGCAAGCTTCGGTTGCTGCCACCGTGGTAAAAGGTCGTGCCTCAGCTTGTCGTGTCCAGAATCGAAAGAATGCAGCCATGTAGTTAATTTATTTTGTAAAGACAAAAAAAAAGGCATTCTTCTTACCATCATTTTTACTATTGAAAAAGAAAAACGGTCTTGGCAGAATTCTAACAAGTCACGTGTATTAATCGTTATCACGGTTGCTGTTTCGGATCAAGCCCATCGGAAATTTAAGAGATACGGGAAATGGCCCGTGACCGCGCATTGAGACAATCTAATCTCTTTTCTTCTGTTGCTCTGTGTATTTGTTTCCCGTACTTTGAATTTCTGAATATAATGTTCTCTGCTGTTTCTCGGTCAGGCATCCTTAATGCCACTCGCACACCTCTGCACCGTGCCATCGCTGGCCAGTCGGCGCGGTAAGTATTTTTTTTACACATATAACATACTCCTCTTCAGCTAGTTGGTCAGCTATTGAACAGCGTCTAATTACCGTACTTATATTATCAAATTTGCTGCACATGCATGTTTGCACCATTATAGTGCCTTTATTGCCACTCCTGCTCGTCGCACCGTGGATGAGCCGCAGTCGGTCGTTGCCGAGCGTGCACTCAAGAACCGCCCGATTTCGCCACATCTGAGCATCTACAAGCCTCAGATGACCTGGGTCCTGTCAGGTCTCCATCGTAACACGGGAGTTCTTGTTGCCGGAGCCGCATATCTGTATACTGCAGCCTTTGGCTTGGCCCCGATGTTTGGACTGGATCTCTCTTCGCTTGCTGTTGCTAGCACCCTGGCCGCTGCACCGACACCTCTGCTTTTGGCAGTCAAGGCCCTCGTTTCGGGTAGCCTGTCGTTCCACTGTGTCAACGGTGTTCGTCATCTGGTCTGGGATTCCGGAAAGGGTCTGAACAACAAGGGCGTCATTAACTCTGGCTACGTCGTTATCGGTGCTACTGCTCTGCTGACCGGCTATCTGACTTTTTTCTAATTGAGTAAATTAAAAGTAGAGTTTATACACGTGGTGAACAATTGCAATGCGTTTTTGGGAAGTGTCGAGTTTACCGTTGTTAATTTCTTTGCTTCCATTTTTTATTTGAAGTGACCGCTTTAAATGGATAATTGTGGTGCCTTCTGGGACCTGTGCTGTTTTTAACGCTGTAACAAAATTGTTGTATTTAAAATGAAAGACCTATACTTTGAAAATAGTCACTTGTCATTGATACAAACGTTGACAATATAAAATGGGTTATTATCACAATGGTTTCGGGCGCAGTATATACGATAAATATGCGCTTATTTGCAGAAACATATTGGTATTTGTTCTTTGAAATAAAAAACACTGTATATTAAATAACACAACAGACTGACGCCGCGTGGGTAGAAACAATTGCAAGTGATCGGCAATATTGTTCCGATACACGACACAATAGGCATAATATGTGTATTTACCTTGAGGTCACACCCATTTTGGTCTTGGCATGTTTAAAACGCAATTGCATGTATAATAAAAGACATGTTTTTACACTGCGAGCGTCGCACAGCAGTGAAACCAACAGCGAATTTGATCAGATCAGTAAACAGGTTTCAATGGTAAATGTCATCATGCAGATGCTGAAAGAAGAAATCAGGATTTTCAGCATTGGTGGTCCGCCTGTGTGAGACCACAACATTTTTGCCAGAAAGGGCGTCAAGAAACAGCCATTATCTGACGCGATGTTTTTTTTGGCATCT